TCTACAAATCTAAATCACTTGAAATTTTAGGTGTTCATTATCTCATCAAAGTGAACTTAATAAAAATATTTTAAAAAAAATCACAAAATAAAAAATTAACCAAAATACCCTCGAAATATTTCGAAGGTATTTTGGTCAATATATATTTTTAAAAAAAATTAATATATTTTTATTAGATTTTATTATTTTGAAGAATGTACGTTCACATTTTCAAGTAATTTGGATTTGTATAAAAAAAATGAAAAATTCAAATATGAAATGAGGTCGTGGCCATTGGATCGGGCCTAGTTCAATCTGAACTGTTGGCTGACATGGTAGTTGTCAGTTTGTGAGCTGACATGATCATTTCCATATATATATATATATAAATCATTGAGATTAAAAACTTTTAAAAAAGATTTTATTTAGTAAAATAGTGTAGAGAATAAAGATAAATATGAAATAGAGAGGGATATTAGCAAGATATGCAATCTTAATATGCATAGAGATAACACTAAAAATATGAAACATTATCGTACGAGAGAGGGGCGTGCTAGAGACTAGAAGTAAAAAATGGAAATATCATGCATATTTTGCTAATATCTCTCTTTATCTGCATATTTATCTTTCGAAAAAGCTTTTTATGTTCCCCCTACAACATAGAAGTTCTATGTTCCCCTACCATCCAGCGGTCTATTTTTTATCAAGAGAGTCACTCATCGTTTGATCTTAGATTCGACGTCTTAAAGTATTTTATTTTTAGTTTTTTTAATACAATTTTTTTTAATATGAAATTTGGTACGTGCTATCTTTTCATTGGGACGCACTTATAAAAAATATTAACAATAATTTTTCGATAAAAAACTAAGAACCAAAATACCCCTTGAAATTTCAGGGGTATTTTGGTTATTTTATTTTATTGAAAATATTTTTTTTATATTTTTTGTTAGTGCGAGTTTAATATAGGAATGGATGTCCAAAATTTGATGTCAAAAGAGTTTATAGAAAAAACATTAAAAATAAAACAGTGTAGAGACGTGATATTGTGATTGGGACAATCTTAGCTTTCCATTAAAAAATGGACGGTTGGATAAGGAGAACATAAAACTTCTATGGAACAAGGGGAATATAAAAAGCTTTCCCTTGTCTTTAACCATCACAAAAACCTTTTGTTTTTTTGTAAGTATTACAGAAACGTTTTTCATGAACTAATGTAACAAATCTTGCCACCCGAAAGCAAATGATATTGGCTTTACAGGACACTATTTCCTTCTTCTTTTTTTAAGTTTTTTTGTTTTTTATCTGCTTATATTTTATATTAAAAGGTATTATTGATTTATTTTTCTCTCTGAAATGTTTTAATCATTCCTCTATCTAATTACATTTATATGTGCAACACATGTAGTTTTATAAAACCAGAAGTAATTATTTGTGGGGTGATTATCAGAATGGCTATTACCTTTGCTTATAATTGTTTTGAGTCTAAGAAATTTAGGGAAGATGAAAGAGCGGGCGAAAATTAGTAGTCATAAGGGCCATCAGGGTCCATTCAGACAATGTATGATGTTGGAGGGAGTGGGACCACCAGAAGACCACATATACCAAATAGTTGTTTGTAATGGACGTTACGGCCCTTAAGATTAAAAATTAACCTTAAAATGTAGAAAAACATATGCATTTTAAAAATCCGTCGGAAAAGGTTGTTTTGGTATTGAAAAACATCTAATTGGTCATCTCGACATCGAGATGTATAAATATGAAAAAAAAAAAAAAAGATTTTGGCTCCCAAAATTATACATCTTGCAATACATTATCTATATCGTCCATTTTCAAGATTTTAATATGTTTATAGATCTACTTGATTTTAATTCTTTATGGAGTTTAAAATTTATAATTAGATATAAAAATAGATTTTGTGATAATCCTAATAATTGTTTTCACCAAAATTAATACAATTTGAAGGTGCACCTTAATTGAAATATTTAAGGGTGCAACCTTATAGAAAGCACACCCAGTTTTGAAAGGGAAAGCTCTCCATATTTCATCTATTGTATAAGTTTCATATACTTCCTCATATCGAGCCGTCCATTTTGAATGAACGGCTGAGATGGTTCTAACCACAATGTAACGTCTCTACACTATTTTTTTTATAGTTTTTTTATACAAAATATTTTGAGCGTCCACTTTTCTCTTAAACTCACACTTGTAAAAGTATTTTAAAAACAATATTCTTAATAAAATAAAATATCCAAAATACCCTTGAAAGTTTCAAGGATAATTTGATCATTGTATTTTATTGAAAATATTTTTTAACATTATTTTTACGTGTGCCCCATTGAGATGATGACACATATTAAATTTCATATTCATATAATTTGTACAGAAAAATTTAAATAAAATACTATGAGACGTCGGATCTATCAAATGGCTCACTTGATTTAAATTGGATAGTTGGATGGGGAGAATCTCCTATACAGTAGGGCAAATATAAAAAGTTTTCCTTGTTCAAAATGCATAAATACTTTCACGTACTTTCATATTTTACACTCAAAGTCAATTTTGTGAAAGCATAAAATATATTTTTGTTTTATCTCTTTTTCTACGTATTAAATTAATCTCAAATTTGGCATGTTCACACTTTTCACTGTCATACACTTAAAAAAAATTTTAAAAATAATTTAAGAAAAATGATAACCAAAATACCCATATATATTTAAGAGTATTTTTATAGTTTTGTTTATTTTAAATTGTTTTTAAAATATTTTTAATAGGTATAACATGCTTACGTTAAAAAGGATAAAAACTCAATTTACTTCAAGAAAATAGGACCTAGGTGTAAAATAATACATACAAAATTTCTATAGAGCTTAGGCTATATGAAAACAAAATAAAGCCTCACGTCAAATCCTTGTTTGGAAAGCACTTTCGACAACATAAATCTCCATGATGGCTCTAAAATCAATTTCCAACATCAACAATAAAATTTGAAACTAAAAAAATGGTACAAATCTTGTAGATCTATAAACTCCTATTTTTACGGCGAAATGGATGGCCTAGATAATTGGTTGCAATATGCATTATTTTTAGAGCTTCAAATCCTTTTTTTTTTCGTAAATATAATGTTCAAGCCGAGATGATCGATGTAAAGGTTTTTTAATACTTGAATTGCAATTTTCAATGAGTCATGAGGTGAGGCTTTACGTATTTAGATAGGGCCACAGCCCTATTAAAACATTTTCCATAATGAGTACATGGCAATGTTTTTTAATTCCAAATATAAATAAAAAAATTTCCGCAAGTTTCCGTTTAAAATTTCCCATCATCTTTCGTTGATGTTGCTTGCCACTTTCTTTCGGGGATGTGGTCTTGATGGTGTAGATTTTCATTTTGATGTTGCAAATTTCAAACCCAAATAGGAGAACGAGGAAGCCCCGTTTCCCCATTTATTTTCACTCATTTTTCTCCAATTAATTTTCCTCTCCGCTCTCTCTCTCTCAACAATTACCTTCAAGTAGTGATTGATGAGATTTTCTTAGGCGAGTCTATGATGTATTTTTTTTATTTTTTATTCTTTATGGCATGATTGGTAGAAGATTGCTATGCTTCAGAGCTTGGCCATGAGTTTGAGGAGGAGCTCAACCTTTAATGGCATAAAATTTGCAATAAAAAAGGAGAATACAGTGTTGCATATTCATACATAAAGCGTTGCAGCCTTCATATTGAAGCAACTCTATCTCTCTTTCTCATATTGAATTATCAACCATGCCCAATCCCATAACAACCCAATCAAACCAACATGATCAAACCAATAAACCCCAAAAATCTTGTCCTCTTAATCCGCCTCAACTCCCTGATCTCCAAACTCACCCACTTGAACCACAACACAGAGGCCCTTCACCTCTTCTCTCTCCACCCAAAACCTGATCAGTACACCATTGCTTCGGCCCTCTCTGCATGCGCAAATCTCCAAAATTCCGTCGCCGGGAAACAGCTCCATGCACATGCAACAGTGGCCGGATTCCGGCCAAATCTCAACCTCTGCAACTCTCTCCTTGCTTTTTATGCAAAATGCTGTGACCCCAATTCGTCTCACCAAGTATTCGATGAAATTACCAAACCAGATGTGTATTCATGGACTACCCTTCTCTCTTCTTATACCAAATGTGGTATGGTACATGAAGCTTGCAAGATTTTTGATCGAATGCCTGAGACAAATGTTGTTTCTTGGAATGCTATCATTAATGGCTGTGCTGAACATGGGCATGCAGACACTTCTTTGCAATTTTTTCGTGAAATGCGAAGCTCCGGTATTAGTCCTGATCGGTATACTTATGCAAGTGTTCTGAGCTTGTGTTCCTGTGAGGAGATGGTGAATTTGGGGATGGTGACCCATGGTTTGGTAATTCGATCTGGGGTTCTTTTGAAGGTTTCAGTGGTGAATTCTTTGGTATCAATGTATTTGGGTTTCGGCTTGATTGAAGAGGCTTACTGGCTTTTTGAGGAAGCTCTGGTTCGTGATGACATCACCTTTAATGGAATGATTTCTGGTTTGGTTGATCAGGGGAGAAACGTAGAGGCTTTAATGGTGTTTAAGGATATGCAAATTGGCCCATGGAGGCCTTCTGATCTTACTTTTGTTAGTGTTTTGAGTGCTTGCTCTTCTACAAAAATGGTCACATTGGGGGACCAGGTCTATGCTCTGGTTACAAAATCTGGTTTGGGAAGCTCAATTCCAGTTTGCAATTCAGCCATTACCATGTATTCTAGTTGCCAAGATTTGCAGAAAGCTTATTGCCTTTTCATGGAAATGACGGACAAGGACTTAGTCTCTTGGAACTCCATTATCACTGGTTTTTCCCAGCTAAATTGCCACCTAGAATCAATCTCATTGTTTCTGCAAATGCGAAGGTTAGGTGTTCAGCCTGATGAATTCACTCTCGGTACTCTTTTTGCTGGTGCCAATTTCTTAACCCCAGAATTTGCCAAAACAATTCAGGCCTTCGCATCTAAATATGGGTTTCTTCCGAGAACCACAGTCTATAATGCATTAGTTAGTGCATATATGAAACTGGGCAAGTTAGAGGAAGCTCAGCGAGTCTTTCATGAAATTCCTGAGAAAAATTTGATCTCTTATAATGCAATCATCTCAGGGTTTCTGCAGAATGGGCTTCCCATCGAGGCCTCTGCGCTGTTTTATCAATTGCAGGGCTCAAAATTGAAACCCAATTCTCTAACTCTAAACCTCTTTCTCAACATTTGTGCAAGCAAGTCATCTCTAGCACATGGGAAAGAAGCTCACTCCTATATTCTGAGACATGGGCATGAATCAGAGACTATACTAAACAACGCCCTTATAACGATGTATGCAAAATGTGGTGCATTAACCACTTCTCGAAGAGTTTTCGATGAGATTCTAGAGAGAGATTTGGTCACTTGGAATGCTATGATTTCAGGTTATGCCCAACATGGGCATGGAGCGGAAGTCATAGCTTGCTTCGAGGCCATGCAGAACGAGGAAGTAAAGCCTGATTGTGTTACTTTCACATTGCTTCTCACTGGCTGTAGCCATGCTGGGTTAGTGGAAGATGGGTTGAGGATTTTCTCTCTCATGGTAGAGAGATACAGGATCGAACCTGGGTTAGACCACTATTCATGCGTGGTGGACCTTTTGGGTAGAGCGGGTCGGCTCCAAGAGGCTGAAAATTGCATAAGCAGCATGCCGTTCGAGGCAGATTCATGCATATGGTGGGCTCTTTTGAGTGCTTGTAGAGCTCATGGTGATGTGAGGCTTGGAGAAATTGCAGCGAGTAATTTGATGGAGATGGAGCCCGAAAACCCAGCAGTTTATGTGTTGTTATCCAATATATATGCAGGAGCAGGGAGGTGGGACGAGGCAGCAGAGGTGAGGGGGTTGATGACGGAGAAAGGGGTGGTGAAGGAGCCAGGGTGCAGCTGGGTTGATGAAAGAAGGGTAGATGGGAGAGAGACTAGTAGTGAAGGAGCCAGGGTGCAGCTAGCTTGAGGGGTTAGATGAGAGAGACAGGAGTAGTGAAAGAGCCAGAGCATGCAGCTACGTCAGTCTAAGGGGCAATAGACTGGGCCTGGACCCTCCAGTGCTGGCCCGGTGCCCTATAGGCTCGGTCCAGGCCTGCTCCAGGCCTGCTAGGCGGCACCACCACCAGTAATTTTAATGGTTCAGGCTGGGCCAAGCCAGGCTGGGTCTATAACAAATTAACATTTTTTTAAGTACAACAAAGAAAAAGGTGGGGCCGTGCCACAGGGGCTCTGGCCCAGGTCCTGCCTGGTCGACCATCTTGCCAAGCTGTCATGCCCGGGCTCGGGCTGTTCTGAACAGGGCCGTACTGTCCAGCCAATTGCGACCCTTATTGAGGGGATTGATGAGAGAATTGGGGGTGGAAGGAGGGGGTTATGTTGTGGCTGGGTTGCCCATTGGCTTTCGTGCTAGCCGTTGCATGTTGCTTTCGGGCTGCAGTTTGCTGGGCACTAATGCACTCCTGCAAGAAAAAGGTCGAGGCATCATGTGGTGCCAGGCTGCTGTGGAGTTGATGAGAGAAACAAGGAAACAAGGTGCAGCTGGGTTTAATGAGCTCATGAGAGAGAGGGAGGGGTGGTGGAGTTAGCATGCAGCTGGGTTGAGGGGGATGAAGAGAAAGAGAGAGGACTGATGAAAAGCATGGGTGCAGCTCTTTGATTGATGAAGTTCAAGGAGCTAGGGTGCAGCATAGTTGACACCCTGAACAATGTCAGGGCATGAGCAAAATGTATATTACAGTCCTAGCCTTGTGCAGCTTTTGATAACTCCATAAGCTATGCGCACAATAGGCCTCCATTGCCCTAGATGGTTCCATCAAATGATGCTCGTGTCACATCTCATTCGAGCAATGACTAGGTTAAGATAGATCATGAATATGAAATAAAATAAAGTAAAATAAAAATGTCAACTTTCTAAATATATGATCATTTTAGAGATTTCAAATTTTTGTTTTTTATTTTAGCGCTCTCGCCTCCAAGTAGGATCTTTTAAGGGGCAACTGACCAATATATGCCCCTTTTATTAGTAGAGATGGCCAAAAAGCTTCCAAATTGCTTTAGTTTTTGGGTTCTCCCTCTACCCACTTTCCCACTTTGCCTCTTTGTTTAACATTCAAATCGATGGAATTTTTGGTCTGAAGGGTTAAATTTAATGCCCAGACTCCTCTATACCGGCCATTAGCTTGGGCATTGTAGCGAACTTAGCGATATGCAGAGATATGATGTGGCTGTAAAGTTTTTACCTCTCTTTGAACCCACAAGGGAATAAAAGTATTTGATGAATTTTATGCTTTGTTGCTTCTTTTTTATTGCAGGGTTACGAAATTTCCTGCAATACCAATCAAGACCCTAGTATGCCCAAATATACTGCTTTCCACTTACATAGTTTTGGCGTTAATCTAGATCCATCGGCTATAATTCCCAAAAAAAAAACACAAAAAAAGTAGACCCTATTTCTAGTGAGAGAAAACTAGTTCTAGAGAGATCTTTTTTGTCGTGATAATATATAGTGCACCAGTAAATTGCATCATATGTGAATGTTGCTCTTCGCATTGCTGAGAAATTCAGAGCTTCTGGTGGAAAGGGCGCTGTTTTGGTAAGCTCCTCCATCAACATTTCACCATGTGATCCCCAGTTTCATGTCTCAGGGTGGTGATTTGGTTTTAGGCAATGAGTACAGGTGAATCCATCTACAGCTCCAAGTTTTGTGATGAACACTTCAGAGAGAGAGAGAGAGAGATTACTTTCAGAAAGCAAAGCCTTGAGTGCTCTGAGAATAGGAAGTAACTGGCAAAAATACTTCAGAGAGAGAGAGGCTAAAGAAAAATGAGAGTGAAATTTCCATTTCTTGATTCAATTACTAAAGATTTCCCTGCCAGACAATTTTTCGTTCCCTTTGTAATGCAGTGTCACTTGTTATCTGCAAAACAGGGTCCAAGCTAATAACCAAGAAAGAACCACTGAAGCTCAATCAATTAGCTATTCGATTTCATTTTTTGGCTGAAAATATCACCTATGCATTCTTAACACCTCAACCGTCTTCCATTACATGGCAAAAACAGAAAACAGTTCAGAGAGAGAACAAAAAAGAAACAAAGAAGCTAGAGACAAACCAGAAAAGGAAGAGGCATGGAACATATTTTAGAATTTTTGTTAAGGAGAAGGTTAAATTAATGGTTTGCTGCTCTGACTCGAACAACTTTTCCAAAAATAGAAATAAATTTGATAGGTCCATAAATAGTTCAAACATAAACCTCAAAATATCTATTTATTTTTTTAAGATTTATTGTTAGTTTCCAGATTTACGATCCTGGTGGTTGAGCTAATTCAATTTTAGAAAAAAAACAAAATACATTTCTCAATAAAAATCTGGAAGGAGACGGCTCTTGAACAGGATGCAGTGAAACCCCATCCATCTTCTATAGCCATTCCCGTTCTCTATTCTTCGACTATTAATCTCGAAGTCGGTCTATGCTACCAGGAGTAGAATTTCAACCATTTTGTTTTCATCTCATCAATCTAGAAAAATGCAGGCCTATATATTCTACCAGAAATAGGCCTTTTTCAATTCGCGACTAAGGCATATTTTTGCTAGAAAGGTTAAAAACCCATTCTTGCCAGCGAGTACTTAAAAAATCACAAATAGGAATGTAAATACAGATAGAAGAGTGCATTCGCACAGATTACAGATCAGGAAAGGAAAAGAAAAAAGGTTCATTGAGTATTCCCAAATGCACAAGGACCCAGATTTTTCTGCTTCACGTCCACAGATTTGCAGCGCAATATTAGGGCAAATCTCATGATTTAGAATGAATTAAAACGAACGGCCTAAAAAAGTAAAATAAACTACTTTTAGGATTGGAAAAACCTTATACATGGTCTCAACCGTACACTATTTTAGTAAAGTGTACCTAAAAAATTCTCTACATGAGAGTGTTCCAATGGTGAAAAACCCTCCAATTAATCATCTCAATCTCGAGATGTATGGATATAAAAAAAAAAAAATTCAAATTCTATAAATAATGCATCTTGTAACAAGTTATTTGGATCGTCTGTTTTCAAGATTTACAAGTATTTATATCTTTACCATTTTTGTAACTTGGGATGTAAATAAAATCTTAAGTCATAAGGTTTTTGAGAACAGAGCTAAGGCACACCTTACTTCTACAGTATAAGGAGGATGCCTTAAACAAACCTCACACTTCAAAGGTTTTTAATCGCTCTTTCTTTCTTTCTTTCTTTTTTTTAGTTTATCGACCTCTGTAATTTTGGAACCAAAGGGCAGGTACACTGGAATAAGGTGCACTCACCAAAACACTATCCATAAAAGAGACGAGTGCAAGAGCTTAAAGGAAGGCTATTGAGCCCCTCGTATATACCGTGAAAAAGTCAATTGGGAGTACAAATAAACAGAGACAACATTGAAGAACATAAATCCACTTTTCCACCTACACCTACATTTACCTGCTACGAGACAACATTACATACAAAATGAATTCTCACAGCCACATTGCAATTGAACAGAGAGCGAGACAGTGGCAGCAAGTACCTTGGCCTGTCATACTGCTCACTTAACTTGGAGGTGCCCTGTAATAAGCAGGCACAGTGTTGGGAAAGAACATTTGCCTGATCCCTTCAGCTTTAATAATTGGAAAAATGATATTTAATGCCCCCTGCATTAGAACCCAACGGAACCCATAAGCAACCATCCATTTATTTATTACTCGACAGAAAGTATTACAGGATCACAAATACAAAGAACTAATAAATGCTGCAAAAGCGAGTCATAGCCACAACCGCAGTGAAGTCATAGTTTCACAGTATAATTACATTTTATGAAGGGGGATTACGTTATAATCCTACAGATTATGGAAAAATTATCTACCTGCAATCAGTGGATCAATGGAAAGTGGGTCCCACCACCCCCTCATCGGACCATGATGACCCAATGGGCCATGGTTTCTCAATGATCCATTGGATTATTATAGAAAATATACAACCACTGGAGGCAGCGGGAAAACAATGAAATATTGGTTCATCCCTGTCAGTTTTAAGTGGTAGATGGTAATGAAGACATGGGACACACCACAACGAAACATGACCTTGTGTTGGTGCGTCCCATTCTCTCCAACAAGGTCCATCCCCTCAATAGACAGAGGGGATGCAGTGGACCATGGAAAACTTTCTCCATCTTTCATCCCTTCAACAGAATGATGAACCAATGGACTATGGCTTATCCATAATTCCCAGGTTCTAGCATACTGACCACCTATATTTTTAAACAATAAGAAAATTATGATTTTCCTTAATATGAATGATGTCATAACGAGCCAAAGATATACAGGAGGGGAAAAATGGAGGCAGCCATCAAAGACTTTCACCCACCGAAAGCAATCTAGCTCCAAGCCATAAGCGCTTGGGAGAAGGGAAAGGCAACAATAGACGCCCGACACCATATACAGCAACCGCAAAGAAATGGAGAACCAAGCTTAGAGGTCGTGGGTTAAGGCCAGATAGTAAGGCCACAGGTCCAGTTGAGAAGACACCTCCAAGACTTAGATAGTCGAAGCAGGCCTGACGCATTTCTTTCATCGCTTGATCAGGAGATGCACAAAAGACTTTGTACAAAGCACCTGCCAATGTATTTATAGTAGAGGCAACTGGCTGCAAACAAAATCCATGGGTTTAAACTTAGAACAACCATAAGTTTGCTTACTTAAAGCTCAAGACAAATTATACAAAGACTCACAATAAACAAGGAACACAATTGACAATTGGGCAGTTTAACATAATAAAAATGACAATTGGGCAGTATAACATAATAAAAATGAACGAAATGAACATGTTCAAAGTTTGATATCATATCAAGAAAACAATATCAATTTCAAATAATGAGCTTACTTAAATGAAGCATCTTACCTTGCGCAAGGTATAAAAGGACTCCAGATATTTGCAAAGTGCAGGGGCATCATGAAGGTCACGGAGAGGTTTAAGAAGGTTATGGAGAACAACAATATCAGATAATGCAACAGTCATGCCACCACCAGTTAGAGGATGGCGCATGTTGAATGCATCACCCATAAGCAGAGCGCCAGGAGTAGGGTATGGAGAAGCAGGCATGCTCTTGTTTGGCATTGTTCTTATGCTTCCTTTCTCAATAGCCATTAAAAATGATTCTCTTAGTTGTTCTGGAATCTGAAGCCCATACACCAAAAAGTGTTGAAGAAACTAGTTTTTAGTACCTCAAAGAAAAGAACCACTAGAAAAAATTGTGTACACCCTACAAAGAGGTTATCTCATCAAACATATAGTGAAGATGAGAAAATGAACGCAAAAACAAAATAGAAAGAAAACACAAAGAAGTTGCACACAAACAAGTAAATATGTATGGACCCGGTTTCTAAGAGTCCATGTAGAAATGGGGCATCTCTAAAAAATCTATTTTTGAGATGGATTTTTTGACTTAATTTTTAAGGACATTTAATCCCTAACATGGAGATCATGAATATGAAAAAAATAAATAAAATTTGAAAATTATAAATAATAATTCTATTAAGAAAACATTTGGACCGTTAGTTTCACTTGTTTTTAGATGGACCACCTATTTGTATCCATCTTTAAGTTGGATGACCGCATGTAGAAATGCGGTCCAGCCAGCATGAAACAATTTTCCAATATGTATTCTAACTATACCTGAGGGGCCACCACAGTCTTCAAATAGTTGGCCATTTCTCCATTAGCAATAGAAGGTACTTTCTGGCCAGGTACATCAACTAAGCAGCGGATCTCAGTGCTGCTTATGGGATAGAATAGTATGGGTGAAGGATCCGCTAAGACAACATGCCCATGGTTTGGATATGGGAGATGGCAATTCTCCAGATCCAGAACCAAGCCAACAAAGCAAGATGGCACTTCGACCTGCAAATAAACAAGAAGGCCAAAATGGTTTTGAAATAAAGTTGGACCCATGTAATGTCTATATGAATATGTCTTAAATTTGTTTGTACCAATCCAGAGTAATTGTGGTAGAAAATAAGGATTCCATTGGACAAAACAAGCTCACTAACATTTTGGGAAAAAGGAGTACCGCAAAAACTCCATAAACAATACAAGACCCAAACATGCAATAAGAGATGAGTTTTACCTTAGGGGTGCAGAGAGAACGCCGCAAGTTCGAAAAGCAACCATCACATACAATTGTGAGAGGGGCATAGGCCTCATGTTCTTCACCATTTGACTTATATCTCACACCCTTGACAGTTCCCTTTTCTTCAATCAATGAAGTCACAGTTCCTTGCTCCAATTGGACCCTACAGGTGAGGATTTGATAATAAACTTTCCAAAAATCAAGTAATCAATTTCATAAGGGATTGTGTACTATAAGGCAATTTATTTTTAGAACAAGGAGGTCACCATTGATCCTAGCCATTGGAATCAAGAGCTATTTATCAAAAAGAAGTAAAAAATGGAATCAAGTGCTGCTCCCTAGAGGTACAGAGCTCTTCATATCAAGTGCTAGCTCTCAAATTTAAGTCCACACTTACCAAACATAATAAAAAAGAAACGCCTCAGATAACTAATTAAAAATTGGGAAACCTTTATAGGTGGCGACTCCCACATATAAAACATAAGCGACAACTATTCTCAACCATCCAATCAAAATGGACGGCTGGGATAATTTCAGTCACAATGTCATGCCTAACACAACTTTATTACATGAAATTTGGTGTATGCTCACTCCCTACAGTGGCACACCCAGCAAATAAATATATTTCTGATAACACAAAATGACTGAAGTACACCTGCAAGTTGCAGGGGCATTTTGGTCAATTTTTATTTTTAAAAACGTTATTTTATTATTATTATTACATGCACCACTATGAGAAGAAGGGAAGCCCTAAATTTCATCTCAAATGAATTGTAAGAAAAAATTAAAATACAAATAACATGTGCCACCCAATCAAGATCATATGCTCATAGGCCAACTTGTGGCATTATAATTGAGATATCCAACTTTTCATTCAGATAGGACGACTGCAGTCGCATGTTTTATATGTGGGTGGCACCACGTGTAAAGGTTTCCCTTAAAAATTCAGGTTGATTGTAACTAAATAAACTGTCACTTATCAAAAGGATGTTTAAATAAATCTAACAAAAAAAGTGTGAAATACAAGTACCGACCCTTCTCCACAAGAAAACTTAAGAATTGAGTAGATTAAGAAATACGCTGAAAGCACAGCCAAATTTTAAACTTCCTGATACTACACCAAGAAGAGGGAAAACTGAAAAACAATAAATCAGAAATAACTCTAACTCCAAGCCATGGGAGAAAAGAACATACTGAGGAAGAGAAGCAGCTTTTTCCCGCATCCTTTGAATGAAGCGCCCATTATGAAAGCTCCTTCCAGCTACATCTGAATTATAATTTTCCAAGGGATATGAAACTTTGGTGTTCTTGCCCTCCTTGAAAAGTGCGTAACCCAGCACTCTTTGAGCATCTATTTCATGAACACAGTCTTCAAGAGAAAACAGAAAAAAACATAAATTTCCAAAGAGATTAGACAAATACCAATGCAAATGATTCAAAAGAACAAAATGAAACATAACAAATGTCACAATTTGAATGCTAAGAAAATAAAATCTCACAAAAAATCACTATGCAGTTGTAATCCTACATGAAATTGCCTTATCCCATTTTGATGATATTATAGGAATTTTCAATTTCAATTGGTAGAAAGCTGTTGTCATGAGCAAAGGGGCTCTCTGATTATATTTTTCATCCCAATTTTGAGAATCTTATGTACTTTATTATATCATTTTTCAAAGGGAGATGATACAATGAGCACAAGACACCTTTAAAACTGTCATTCATTTTGGGAGACTTTGGGCAAAGGTATGTATTTATGTAGAAGGGTGTCTCTTGCTCGTCATGGTGGTTCCCTTTTTCATTTAATTAATAATTTATGGGCCCCAAACCCCCAAAAATATAAACTTTGCAAATAAAACATTTATAACATAAATAACAAGCTATAGTCGTAGAAAACAAGAGTTCTACAACTTTTAATTTAATTAAGGAAAATTGTTTGGTGCGGCACGGCCCGTAACTGTTCAGATGCGGTCAATTACACCTGAACTGTGCATCTAATCTGACAGTGCAGAAAATGCATGGTCCCCTGCCCCAAGCATTTATTACCTGTATCTTTACCGGCTGGATAGGTGGCCTTCTTACTGAGCCGTGGGAGAGCCCTAAATAATATCCAAACAAGAGAAAGAGAAAGAAAGAAACAGAATCCAGAGCGTGGGAGAGTGGGAGCCAGGGAAAAGCATGACGAAAGAAACAGAAAGAAGGGGGAATCTAGAGATAGAAAGAGGTTCAAATCCTTCAGAGCTCAAAAGGGATTTTAGAAAGAGAGAGGTACAGGAGCAGAAACTCAGTTTAAAGGGGAACTTTAAGAGAAATGTAAGATTTTCGAGAAAAGATATTTTAGAAAGAAAGAGGGAATCTTTCTCAAAAAAAAAAAACAAGAAAGAGGGAAAGTTACATAGGCTTTGTGAGAGAGAGAGGAAGAACATAGAGAGTTTTTTCCGGCACTCATGTTGCCGGAAAAATGGGAAAGAACCCTCCTCCTACTGCTGATCATATCATTTCCCTGGGTTTCAGGTAAAAAATAGAAAAATAATCCTACTTACCCTGCCCGAAATTGTCTATACCATTCCTTTCTGGGTTTTCACAGTTTGGTTTTCGGGATTCTATTCTTCTTGCCCGACTTTGAACAGGTTGATTTTGGCTCTCTTTTTTTGCCCGAATCCTCCAATTTGAGTTTCTTATCCCTGTTATTCAGGTGGGTTTGTGGCCGTGAACATAAGAATGGACCAAAATCAAAACCACCCATCATAAACCCTTTGCATTTCAGTCCTTAGACCTCGAAACCTAACATCTCCAGTATCTGAAAAAAACCTCTGCATTTCAGTCCTTAGACCTTGAAACCTAACATCTCCAATAACTGAAAAAACCCACCTCGAGACCTAACATCTCCAATATCTAAAAAAACCCAAACAAACAGTAAAAAAGAACAAGAACAAGAACAAGAGAGAGAGAGAGAGAGAGAGTTGAGGGTGTTTTTTAATTTCAAAGAGTGAGAAAGGAAGAGATGTTTTAGGATAAATGTTATCCAGAAGAGTAAATGGAGGTGGGCAGGTAACCATGGCGCTTTCTAAAAAGTAAAAAGAAGTACGGTGGGAGGGGTTGTTTGGGGCAGGGACAAGCAGAACGAACCAGAGCTTTTTGCAACTGGTTGCCTTCGCCATGGGATGTGCATTCTGCGAGTCAGATTACAGGGACGGCAAGGTAAATGCTCGCATTATAATAGTTGCGAGCCCTGCCGCACCAAATCAGGTCCTCTAAATAATGTTTTTCATCAGTTTTATGACAATATTATTTTTATTTTAAAGTAACAAGGAAAGTAAAATATATTCTTCAAAATATTAGCAAACTTGGTTTTAAGATATTAAAGTAGCAATGCATTTTTTCTTTAGAATAATGTGAGTTAATAACCAAAAGATTTGAAGAGGCATGAGCGTTTCATGACATGACTTCACAATCATTAAAAAGAAACAGAGAGTAGAATAAATGCCATAGGGTCAATTAGATGGGTACAAGCAATTAGTACATATGGACAACGAGTGACAATCAAAATAGAAAGATGGAAAATCTCAAAGTGCATTATAGAAAGTATCAACAGATAAGTCGTCTGAGCGAAATATTGCATGTCATAGGGGAATAGGATTTTCAGTCAACCATCTAAAAATTTTAAAAAATAAAATCAAAAGAAAAATAGAGGAATTTAGATAAAGGGGATAGGAAGCTCAAAAAGATAAGAGTTTTTTTTTTCTTTTCGTCATTCCTTTTTCACCTTTCTTGGAGACTTTGCTTACCCTATGAGTAATTTTGTATTAGCGTGTACTCTCTTTTCCATCAATACAATGTTAACAGTATCAAAAAAACAAAAAAAAAGAAGCTCAAACATAGGAAAGAGCATGTGCTGGTTTTGAGAATGAATGACAGAAAAGAGTCTCATCCATCACTCATATGCCACAAAAAATTTGAATCGAGATGCAGATATCTGAAAATACGTAGAATTGTTTGTTAACCATCTACTACAGCACTGTCATCATCAATAAGAATAGATATCATGAGGGTGTTTTTCCTTGATAAAGTGAAAAGATTCAAACAACAGTATTATATAACATGATTACTTGACTTTACTCAAAGCTTTAGAATACTCTTGGCATCTTACTGAACATTAGGGATGCATTAGATGACATTCATCCAAAAATGATGCTTTTATATAAGATGGGCAACTCAAAGAACAATAAAGGTCAGGTGCCTCGGGATTCATACAACAGAACTGGAATGTTCTGGTCATTTTAAGCAAAAAAGTGGGAGTCTCGACTCTTATATGGGAGAACAATTATATATATATA